TCATTACTTCTCGGCTCCCAGAGCCATTCCACTTGATTAATCGGCTCCCAGAGCCTTTTTCATTTTCTCGGACTCCCAGAGTCCAGCTACCCAGCAGCACAACAATCCGCTTCCACTCGGGAAGCCTAGTCTATGATGCCCACAGACATCCCGAATCACACAGATTCGTTTCTGACCACTCAGGTCGTCCATCTGCCACATAGGCTGATTCTGGTTACGATTCCCACACCACAACAACTTTTCACAAAGCACAGGCAAACAAATCTACGCAACGGGAACCACCTCACATTCGCCCATAACCATGGGCACGGCTGTTCGAACAGTTAGTTAACCTCTGCAGAGGGGTACACTTTACCCACAAGACACGAACTTACTCCAGACACTGGCCGGTGTCAGAGGTTCGCGAAAAAGCCTTTCCCAAGCCGACCCAGGGTTACCTCATGCCACAAAGAAGGATCAAATCCTCACGTAAGTATAGGCCATTTTAGGCATTCACAAATCAACTCCAACCACCTTGATCGGTAAGTGAGCAAGCTTCTCGTCCTTGCCTTACCAGGAACCCGGTTTGACCGACCCCGCCCCGGCGTTCCCAACTATTGGCATGCGAGGTTTCCCTGAACCGACTAGTTACTTAGCCAGGGTGTCCCATTCCAACTTGTGGTTGCACTTTGATTATGTTCGATGAGTTTCCCACAGGAATCGGTCCTTATATGCGAATACGGGACAGTGCCACATAGGCACAACCCCCGCATCGCGAGTTTTCACAATTCATTTTATTTTCAAACACACCGACACCACATGTCGGGTTTTGAAGGCTTCACAAACCCATTTCCCAAGTTTTCGACAAACAACGGTGTATGTGGGATATTTGGTATACGCGCTCAGAGAGCACGAATACCGAGGTACCACAAGGGTGGAGCGACAAGGAATCAGGGTAGTACGACCTACGGAAATTAGTGCGACTACTGGGTAGGTCCGTCGGTTTGGCACGCAAACCGAGGCCAAGCAAGTTAAGTGTGTGATTCTAATAATGCAAGTTGCAAACAAAATAATAATGACTTTTCAATTATAGGAGCAATTGATCAAAGGGTGACTTGCCTTGCTCAAGGTCTTCACGAAGCTTCACGAATCTTCGAGAAAACCCGCGATCGACGAAAATCCGATAACCGCAACTATACGCAAACAATCAAAAACCTAAACAAAAGACCAAAAGAAAGATCCTATTTAGACCTATTAGTAGTGCCATTAAATAGGTCTCAATTTTACGGAATTACTGGAAGTGGAACGGAGGCGATCGGAGCTACGGATCGAGGGATATGAATTTTGGAGGTCTAAATGGATTTTCTGGACAAGGAAAAGGAATTATTAATTCCCTTGGAAAAGAAAAGGAAGGAGGGATCGGATTTAGACTTCCTCGGGCGACTTAGGCGCGGCCCGAGGGATTCACAAGGCTTGGCCGGCCATTGGGCCGAGCGCAGCCATGGGGAGGCGGCCCATTAGGGCGCGCGGGGAGAGAGGGAGGCCCGACGGGGTGGGCGCGGTCCACCGCGCGGGACCCACATGGCGGTGGTTGGGTTCACGGTGGGGAGGGCGCACGCGGGGGCGGGCGCTAGGGTTTCAGGTGCGCGCGGTTCGGGCGCGGCGCGCCGGGTGGACGGATGGCGGCGGGCCCATGTGCAGCCGCACGGCTTGCCGCGGACCGCGCGCACGGGAGGGAAGACGGAGGGAGGAGGCTGACTGGGCGCGACTTGACCCAGTCAAGCGGGCCCGGGGCTGAGGTGGCTGCCACGTGGTCGGCCACGCGGGCAGGGGCGAAAGGGGAGGAGGAGGAGGAGGAGGCGCCCGGGATCGGACGGCCGACGACGCGCGAGGCGTTCCGGCGAGCGGCGGCGAACCGGAGCGAGCGGCTACCGCCGGCAGCTAGAGGAGGTCAAGGGGAATCCGTTTAACGGCACGGATTTGAGAGGGGAGGTACGACGGTGGCTGGCGACGGCGACCAAGCTCGTCGGATCGGGGATGTGGTCGCGCGAGGGAAGGGACAAGGGGGCGCGGACTCGGGCCTAGCCGAAACGGTACGCGACCGCGATGCGCACGCGGGGACGCGGGACCCGATGGTCACCGGCGACGCACGCGCGGCGGCGTTAGGCGGCGGCGGAAGCGGCGACACGGCGCGGAGACAAAGGAGAAGGCCGACGGCCTTGGGGCAGCCAGGGGGAGGTCATGGGGATCCCCGGGAGCGTGGCGGCGAGAGGAATCGACGCGAGAGGAGCCGACGACGGTGGATTGCGGCGGCGGCAATCACCGGAGAGCAAAAGGGGAAAACACGACGAGACGACGAGGGTTCGATTCAAAGGGGTGGGAGCATCTCCGGGGTTCAAGGAATCCGTTTCCGGCGTCGGATTGGACGGAGCGGCACCCAGATTGGCTCGCGACGAGAGGCGGTCTTCGGGAGCGGGCGGCAATGGCGGCGAGGCCGTGCCGGGCGGCGACGACGCTAGGGAATGGTTTGGGGAGGTCCTAGGGAGCTCAAGGACGGTGGTGGCGCGAGGGATTGGCGAGGGGGCCCATGGCGGCGCACAGTCGGGCGCGGCGGCGGCGAAGCAGAGCAACGGCGGGGCGGCACGTTTAGGGGGACGAGCGAGCAACCGAACGGCTCGGGGCTTATCCAAGATGATGCAAATGGCAAGAATTTGGGCGAGGAGCTCACCGGCGAGAGAGGAGCAACGTTGGCGACGCGGAGGGAGTCGTGGCGAGGTGGTCGCGACGGCGGGGCGGGGGCGAGCAGCTGGCGGCCGGCAACAAAGGCGCGGGTGTTTCGAGCGAGGCGGAGACGAAACGAGAGGGGAGGGCGCGGGCTTTATAGGCGAGGAGGAGAGGTCGGTTTGGAGGAGGGAAACCGACATTGGCGGTCAAGGGAGCTCGGCTGGTGTTCACGGGCGGCAGCGGCGGTATCGTGGGCAGTGCGAAAGCGGCGACGGCGTGGATGCGTTGGGCGGCGAAGGCGGTGGATCGAGCGGCGGAAATCGAACCGCGGGAGCGCGGGCTGGCGCGGTCAAGGAGAGCGAGTTGGCGCGGTCGGTCAAGCGGCGCAGAGGCAGTGACACCTGCAGTGGTCGGGAAAGGGAAAAAGAAGGGGAAAAAGGGGCTTGGTCCCTTGCCATAATGAGGAGAGGGAGAGTGAGGAGGAGGAGGAGAGGGAGGGCAGCTGCTTCTCCCACTCTTGGACGGGTGCGGCGTGGAGTGGCGGGGGGGGCCATGGATGACGTCGACGATGACGGCGGCGGTCGGTTTGGCATGGAGCGGGGGCAAGGCGGCAGCGCATGGCGTCAGCGGCGACCGGCCGGTTGGCCACCTCGCGAGGCGCACGCGGGAATGGGCGAAGGCGGTGGAGGTTTTGGGCGGCGACGGCGGGAAGCGGTGTCGGCGCGAGAAAACGAGAGAGAGAGAGAGAGATCCTTCTCTCGGCGACGGCTCGTGCAGCGCACGTGAGGGAGATGGCAAAGGAGAGAAATGGGCTGGGGAGGGGAGATGGGCCGGGGGAGGAAAATCGGTCCATCCAAAAAAATAGGGAGGTAAAGTAGACTTTTACAGAGAAAACTGATTTGGATAGAATTGGAGAGATTTAGGGTTTGGATTCGAATTCAATTTGATATTCGAACTCGAGGGTTTAGGGATGTATCAAGGGAAACTCAAGGAGGAGTCATGGAAAAGATTCAAAAGGAATACTTGGGTATTTGTTCTCGGGAACATAGGGTGGAGTCAAGGAAAGGATTCGAGGCGGGATTTGAATAATTCTGGATTCGTAGAAGTATTTGGCGAGGATTCAAAGGAAGGATTTGAATTTCAGAATTTTGATTTCAGAGACTCGAATCGGAAGAGGAATTTGGATGAGGGGGAGGATTTTGATTTCGATGAGAGGGAACAACGGGATTAAATTTGGATCCTTGGCACAACTTAGACTCTCACACAAAGAACGAAAATTTTCGCAATTAGGATTTTGCCGAGTTAGTTTTTAACGACTCACGAAAAGCGGAGCGTTACAGAAACCTTCCCGTACAAGAAACCAACTTTACAAACTCCAATTGTACCAAATTTGGACTCCATCCAAATACGACTCTACATCCCATACTCCATCCAAATGCCATATAGAATCTTCACCAACCACATGCATTCATCTTTAGCCTAAGTATATCCCGCATGATATCTGACCGTCCGTACGTCACCTTATCTTCAAGTTGACTCCCGATCCATCACCGGCAACACTCTCCCGAGGCGTCAAGATTACCTACACATGAATCAACCAAGAAACCATATTCCGAGACTAAGCTATCTCCAACTTGACTCATTGTTAGCAAACAACAATATTACATATGCATAGTATATCCATTTAGAAGTCATAAACACAAATTATCCACAGATATCCATAGAAACAACCCGAAACCAAAACCGACACAGAGTCGGCCGGTCAGACCACACACATACCGCCGGTCTGACCGAACCCGACAAAACAGCAGTCCCTGTTCATTACCTGTAAATCCAATCATCTCCAAAAACCATTTCACTAATAATCTCCAAATACCAAAACCAATAATCTCAGATGCGAATTGTTCCTCACAGAATAAGAATCAAACACACTTTGATTTTACAATATAGAGACGAGCGATGGTGGTTCATCACATTTAGATAATGTTGTACAATCCTCGTTTCTCCCGCTCCATGGCTCCACTATGTCACTACTCCATGTTCACCATTACTAGGTAGATTGTGTCATTGGTAGATCATACTACTAGTTCATCCGTTTACTCAGTTTTTTAATATATGACGTCATTCACTTTTTAGATATGTTTAGCCGCCATTCATTTTATTCTAATTATCATTTATTTATTGTAACTTGATTTATTATAAAATATTCATTAAGCATGACTTAAATATTTCTATATTTGAAAAAAAAATGAATAAGATGAATGCTCAAATATTGATAAAAAGTGAGTGATGTCATATATTAAAAAACAGAGGTAGTACTAATTAAGCACACCCCCCACCACCCCCTTTTTATTCCATAATAAAGAGTTACACATACAACATGCACAATACATCGATCAAACAACACGTACATTGACACTCCCCACTCTTAATTAAATAAACACACACTTTCCATCCATCACGAACATGTAGTTCAACAGCGGGTGGTAGCATGCATGCACCGTGCTCTGGTTTCATGCCGTGCGTAGTACATGCATGTGCTGTGCCCCTTATGGCCACCACCAGAAGGGGAACCACGGACGCGCACAGCACTGCAAGCACTCGTTGAAAGCCCCGTAGCCACAGCACCCAAATGGGCAGCCGCCGAACTGCGGGTCGTACCAGCCAGGGCCGCCATTAAACGGAGGCGGCGGGTAGAAGCCGCCGCCGTTTGGCCACCACCACGGGCCTGGGTAGTAGGGCGCAACATAGCCGGCCGATTTGCCGTTGCCACCAGCCGCTGATGATCCGCCCGCTTGGCCGTCGCTGCCACCGTTGGCCGGAGGGTAGGTCGGCTGCGAGTTGGCCGCCTCTGCATGCATGCGTGGATGCATAAATATCGTACTCCCTCCGTATCCTAATGTACAACGCCGTTGACTTTTCAACTAACGTTTGACCATTCGTTTTATTCAAAACTTTTATGCAAATATGAAAATATTTATGTCATGCTTAAAGAACATTTGATGACGAATCAAGTCATAATAAACTAAATGATAATTACATAATTTTTTTAATAAGACGAATGGTCAAACATTGGACAAAAAGTCAACGACGTCATACATTGAAATATGGAGGTAGTATATGTCTAGCAGCAAGTTAGAACCGCTAATAAGAATATGTTTTAACTTAACGGCTGTTTTTTTACCATCAAATAAATCAGTTGGCCGTCAAGAAAATTGCGGATTCTTCGAGGTAAGTGAACTTTCAATTTGAAAAAAGCGCATATGTTTAGATATGCACACGAAACGTACACTGAACGTACATATATATATAAGATGATTTGTTATTTATGAATAATTAACACGTCTTGTATATAATTAGGGGGGAATTAAAAAGATATCTTCACCTGAGGTGGCGAGGAAAGCAGCAGCGAGCAGGAGGAGAGCGAACACAACCAAACCCTTGGACGACATGGCTTCTCGAGATCGATCTCCTTACTGAATGTACATGCAAGAATGCTGATGAGAGGCTATATATATATGCGTATGCGGTCAGAACTGATGGCACGACTGCCGCCGGTTTTCTCCTGCTGACGCCATGTCGATTGGTGGGGAGTACATGGCATTCAGTTGACTTGTGAGCGTTCATATATATGCAGGTTTAATTTACTCGGTCGCCTGCAGCTTCAGTTAGCTCAGCTAAACTAGACACTACTCCGTAGTCCGTACTATATACGGACCCGCATGATGATGTACAAATTAAAGTAACAAATTTAAACCTACTGAGCTCTCTCATTAGATATCTAAGACAGAAATATATATGGCTGTGTGTGTGCATCATATGATGCAGAGAGCTGTGGTTGACCTATATATATTCTACAAATCGAAGGACACCGTGTTGCCATTTGCATGTTGTTTTGGACGTGTTCATGAGCTCTACCGTAGTACCGTGTCATCAACAGTTAATTCCATGGCAGTAAGTTGTTGGATGGAGTAAGTTTTTGACCGTCAGGCCAGCTCTAGTACCACAGAAACACATTTGTAAAGCGTGGACTGGCTACTTGCAGCTAGTAAATTAAGTCACCTTGATTAAGGCCACAAATAAAGCAAGCAGAACAGATGGCAAACATGCCAACCAATGACAAATGCATGATATATTGATATCTATAAGGGCGATGCCATGTCATATCATGGGATGATGGGAATATAAGGGGTGCATGCCAAACTATTATTTTCTTTTAATAGATTAAGTAAACAATTCTCTAATTTAAATGACTAAACAACCTTTTCAGATTTTTAACAAATACCAAATCTACCCTTTCATATATTGGTCGTACATGCCAAACTATGATTTTCTTTTAATTGATTATAAGTTAAAAATAAATTTCACTAAAATAATATAATTTTGTCATGTTTAATTTTACACAATGAAAATTGAGTTAAATAAACTTATGTCGCTAGCGCGTTTGGGAAAAAAAAACGAATATGCAGCTGGTAAGCTAGAGCAAAATTGTACCATATATACTGGCTAAGCTATGCTGGATATGCATGCCCAGTACGTTTTCAAAGGTGGGGGATTAACTTTAACTGCAAGCAGTCAAACTAAGAGATGTGGGTGAGAGGTTCAATCGTCTCGTCTTTCTTTTTTCTTAACCAGTGTTATATCCGTGTTTTACAATGGGCTATTTTTAGAAATACAATACAAACACTGACGCGCCCAATACGTTTTACAATGGTATTGGTAGAAATACGGGTGAACGGTTTTATAGAGTTTAGTTTTATCAATCTATTTATTCTTTTAGTGATTTTCTCGTGAAAACATAGTTTATTTGGGATGGTTTTTTTTTTCCTTTTCACTTCACTATGGGAATTCGCTTGGATTTTTTTTTTTTACAAAATCATGAGCTGCAATTAAGAGTCCGATTATTTCAAGTTTGCATGCGAGTTTTTTAAAAAAGATTTCTTATACGTCTCCTTCTATACTTCTAATAGCAAACGAACTTAAAAATCAACTCAAACACAGAAAACGAGTGAACTTAAAAACCGACTAAAATACGGATGACATACCAAAAGTACCGGTGTCACACCCCAATCTGGCACCGCCGTACAACGGCACCTGATAGGAGTGTGTCGTAGGAAAAACGGCGCGAATCGCTTCCTACGAAACCGCGATCACAGTACCAGTCCCAGGACATAACGCTGGTACCCACGGTGACAAATATGAATCATTGCAATCCTTAAATTAAATAGAGGACTTATTTACCTTAACTTAGGTTGCAGCTCAGAACAGCCCGAGAATGCAATCGATGACGCGGACGAGGAAACACCAACAACAACAGCAGCAGCAGCGGAACCAACGGTCTAACACCCAACACCATAGGCGACGGCTAGGAACCAGGACGAAACCCTATTCTTCACTTCACTTCGTCGTCAGCTTCAAGGCGGAGGAACTATATATATATTTATATAGAGCAAGGGTGAGTACTTTCGTACTCAGCAAGTCACGGGAATTAAGTGTTTATTGCAGGCTTCAAAGGAAAGGCTGTTGTTTTTACAATTGATTTTATTTAAACTCCTTTTTGAAACAACTAAGTGAGTGCTTCTCAAACGACACGGATGAGACAGTGAGTCTCGTCCAGTCGGAGTATGTGCAATGTATCAGTCTTTGAATAGATCAAGGTTGAAACCCGGCCAACAGCTTTCAAACGGCTACCTGGGCCTAGTTGATCACATCAGCCGCAGATTTTCCAAACATCGAACCCTTTCCACGACAGCAGTTTCACAAAGCAGTAGTCAAACAAAACTACGCTAGGAATCACCTCACATCCGCCCATGACCGTGGGCACGGCTATTCGAACAGTTTAATAACCTCTGCAGAGGGGGTACATTTTACCCACATGACATTACTAACCTGGATCACCCAGCCCGTGTAGAACGGCCACGTCTGGAGACCTTTAGGCTTTCATGACAAGCATTTCGAAAGCCGGCACAGGTTCACCATATGCCAACAAGAGGGGTCCCAGACCGACATCAGGTTAGGTCCCAGACCGTACTGTGCCAGGAAGCCCGGGGGTTCTCCCCGGCACCACCCCGTTGAATCCACATGTCTCTTGGCATCATGGCTCCCCCGATTAGCTAATCACTCAGCCAGGGGCGTCCCATTCTACCCATATGGTCGCACTTGCCTTATGTTCGGATGAAATTCCAAGGAAACGGTCCTTAAGTGCAAGAGCGGGAAACCGTACTCCCGGTACGTCCCCGGTCCGCGATTTTGGAAATTCATTTTAGTTCGCAAGCACCGACCCAGGTGTCAGGTTTTTTTCCAAATCTTTTGTAAAACCCCAAGTTTTACCCATCGTTGGATATTTTAAATTTGAGGGGAGGTGTTCCGATGCGCATGCCTAAGGGCCCATGCATCGAAGCACAACATTTGACAAAGGAGGTTTAAGTGTTCAATAATTCAAGGAGGGTAATTGCAGTAATTAGGATTTGGGGGCCGATAGGCTATCTCGCAAGCCGTGGCCGAATTACTCGTGTTAATCCTATTCATGCAATATTTGCGGAAAAGAAATACTTAGATTTAAATTATAGGTGCAAGATGATCAAAGGTGGCTTGCCTTGCTCAAGGTCTTCATGAAGCTTCACGAATCTTCGAGAAAACCCGCGATTGGCGAAAATCCAGTAACCGCAACTATACGCAAACAATCAAAACCTAAACAAAAGACCAAAAGAAGGATCCTATTTATCCTAATTAATAGTGCCATTAAATAGATCTCAATTTTACGGAGTTACTGGAAGTTGAACGGAGTCCATCGGAGTTGCGGATTGTGAGATATGAATTTTGGAAGTTTAATTGGAATTTCTAGGCGAAGGAAGATATTTGTGGAACAAGGGGAAATTGATTTATGAAATTTATAGAAATAATATTCTCAAGAATATTATTGACCGTCACTGACGTGCGGGACCAAAGGAAATGATTTATGGAATTTTGGGAGTAAGGAATTGATTTATGGAAAAGGGAAAAAGGATTTATGGAATTTCTGGATTGAAGAAAAGATTTATTAAATTTTATGAAAAAGAATATTCTCAAGAATATTCTTTGATAGTCACTGAAAAATGGGGCCATCAAAGGGGTAAGGAAGGAGAGATGAACTTTGGTTATATGGCTGGTTTGAAGAAGGGAGTAATTGTAGACTTTATTCACTTTAAGGGGCCGAGGGGAAGGTGGGCCGATGGGCCAAGCCCACAAGCCAAAGGAGAGAGAAGGGGGGGTGGCTGACTGGGCGCTGACGGGGCAGGCGCGACCGGTCAACTTGACTTGGTCAAGCCGACGTGGCTGCCACGTCGGATGGGGAGGGAGAGGAGGCCGGGCGGCGCATCGGACGGCCGACGGCGCGCAGCGGAATCCGGCGAACGGCGATGAACCGGAGTGGGCACCAGGCACCGGAAGTGAGAGGGGGTCAAGGAGGTTCCATCCACCGGCTCGGATGTGGGAGAGGAGACACGACGGCGGCCGTGCGGCGGTGGGATAGGTGGCATGGCACGGGCGCGACTGGCGAGGCGGGCGACGGCGGCGGTGTGCCGGGGAAGTTCGAGAGGGCTCGGGGATGGTGGCGGCGCCGGGAATCAAGGAGTGGAGGGAGGCCGACGGCTGGGGAGGCACAGCGGAGGTGGCCGGTCGTGGGGCACGGCCAAGCGCGGCAGCGGCGAAACGGGCGACGTGACGCAAGAGCGAGAGGGGAGGCCGGCGGCCTAGGGACAGCCAGGGGGAGATCAAGGGGATCCCCGGGAGCGTGGCGGCGAGAGGAATCGGCACGAGAGGAGTCGACGGCGGTGTATTGCGGCGGCGGCAATCACCAGCGTGCAAAAGGGGAAAACACGACGAGACGACGAGGGTTCAATTCAAAGGGGTGTGAGCATCTCCGGGGTTCAAGGAATCCGTTTCCGGCGTCGGTTTGGGCGGAGCGGCACCGAGAGTGGCTGGCGACGAGAGGCGGCCTCTAGGACAGAGCATGGCGGCCGGCGAGCTAGCGCGCGGCGCAAGGGCGGCGAGCGGCGGCTCGGGGGTCTTCCACGGGGATCAAGGAGGACGACAACGAGAGGAATTAGGCGGAAAGCTCACCGATGGCGACGGACGGCGTCGGTGGCGAGGAAACAGGAAGCCGGCGGCGGAGCGCGACCGAGGAGAAGAAGGAGGCAGCGAGGAGGCTTTCGCGGCGGCGGGGTGGCACGGCACCGAGAGGGCGTGGCCAGGGAAGGAGGGAGGGAGAGGTGGCGCCCGGAGCTCCTTGTCGCGCGTTCACGCTCGCACCGACTCCTCCGGTGCTCGACGACGGACGGCGACGACGAGAGCGAGACGAGTGGCAACAAGGCGGCGACGGTGGTTCGGCGGCAATGGCGTGGTGGGTGTGAGGCGAGCGAAAATGAGAGAGGAAGGGGTTTGGGGCGGCTTGGGTTTTATAGTGGAGGCGATGTCGGTTTGGGAGGAGGGGGCGAGCTGGTGCTTGGCTGGCGGCCGCGAGCGGGATCGGCGTTTTCGTGGGCGGCACGAAACATGGCGACGGTGTGGATGTGTTGGGCGGCGAAGGCGGTGGATCGGACGGCCGAATTTTCGAGTCGTGAGCGCGGGCTGGCTCGGTCAAGGAGCGAGAGCTGGCAGCCGTGCTCGGAGCTAGCGGCCATGCGGCGGCAGAGCATGATAGTCGCTGAGGTTGAGGTAAAGGTGAAAAGGAAGAGAGAAAGGAGGGCTTGCCCTTGCCATCTTGGGAGAAAGAGGGAGGGAGAGAGAGGCTTTGCCTCTAGGATTTGGACGTGAGCGCACAGGGGTGGGGGCGACGCGGCAACAGGGCATGGGCGGCGTCAGGGCTGACGTGGCGGCGACCAGGCGGCATGGCGCGCGCGCGCGGAGCGGCTGGCGTGGCCGAAAATTGAATGGCGACGGGCGGGGGATTTGGCGCCGGAGTGACGAAGGCGGTAGAGGTTCGGATGGCGGCGGCCGGAAATCGGCGCCAGTGTGAGAGAGGAGGGAGAACGAGCGAGAGAGAGGGGAAAGAGAAGACGGCACTCTCTCTCTCGCTCCGAGCACGTGCGGCGCACGCGCAGGAGAGAGCTGGGCCGAGAGGAGGGGATGGGCCGGGAAAGAGGAACAGCCCATCGACAAGGGAGGCGAAATAGACTTTGACAGAGAAATTGAATTGGAGGGAATTGGAGCTTGGAAATGGAATTTGGATATCTTTGGAGACGGGCGAATATTTGGCAAGGTTTTGAGATTTGGAATTTGAATTTCGAATTTGATTACTTGGACTCAGGGAAACAGGGAGGAGTCAAGGAAATGATTCGGATGATGATTGATTCTCTCGAAATCGAGAGAAAGATTTGGCAACGAGTTCAAGGGAGAGATTGACTTTCGGAATTGGGATTTGGATGAGAGGGAGGAGTCGACGAAGGGATTCAAAAGGGGAGTTTGATATTTTTAGGACGGGGACAATTATTTGGCGAGGATTCAAAAGAGAGGGATTGAATTTTCGGAATTAGATTTCAGAGACTTGAATTGGAAGGAGGAAATCTCAAGGTGGAGGATTTTGATGGCGACGAGAGGGAACAACAATGGAGATTTGAATTGAGATCTTGGCACAACTTAGACTCTCACACAAAGAACGAAATTTTCACATATAGGATTTTGCCCAATTAGTTTTTAACGACTCACGAAAAGTGAAGCATTACAACCAGCAAAAACATCTTCAGTTTTTATATTTTACTTGATGAGGTACGATGGTAGGAGAGGATCAGGACGAAGACGACCCCCTTTTATATTAGTTGAGAAAAGGTTTTAAGAAATCTTGGCTAAATAAAGAAAGTATTTGAATTATCTAAATACCAAAAGTTTTATGATTTTAAATATATGTAAAAGATTAAAATAGTATAATTTAATGTAGTTGAAAGTGTGCTCCTCCAAAGTTTAACATAAGGCAATGTAAGCTCTAAATGTTTGATTGAAACCATAGCACAAATAAAGTGCATTGTCAACGCTCTAAAACTTGACCCAGCATACTTTTAGAAATTAAACCACAGATATAGACAGGGTGGCAAAGGGGTCTGACCTCATCTAATTAAGTATTTGTTTCTCTGGTAGATGACCTGGTTAATCACATATGACTTGTTTGTAGTGTTTTTACCCTATCTAATTCTAGGAGCATTGTCTGCAATGGAGTTGTGGAACGACCCGAATCCCGCTCCACCTCTAGTCCTCTACATATCATCTTTAATTTCCTTTTGGGGGAGGCGCAAATTAAACGACCGTTACTGAATGAGCAAATCTTTTAGGCCCCAGCTACGACACATATGCTTGAGTTTGGTCCTTTGCCAGCATGTTCTGATTGACTTGTTACTAGTTTGCTTCTAACCGAGATACAGGCTACAGCAAGTTGCGTTTATGGGATGGCCATGTGCAAGTTATTACAGCCGGGTAGACCAGAGCAGCACAAACAGCCAACAACGTACTCGGGTTGTTTTGGGCCTAAAGTCGTTTGCCAGAGCGAGCGAACTGTGAAGAGTTATCAGGCCTACAACATTTGTCCAGGCCTGGACTGGGTCACGTACGTACGTCTGGGCCGGCCCAAAAACCACTTGGGCCATCGCCTGCCGCATCAACGACATCGATCAGAGCGCGCGAACACAACAATTAATGAGATCTGGACCTCTCGATCGATCTTCTCCTCCTCACTAGCAAGAAGCTATACTAGCTAGGCACTGATCGATTGATCGGTGTATATGATCTGCTGTGTGATGAGAAGGTAAGCATGCGAAGTACTCCCTCCGTTTTACGTTATAAGATGTTTTGAATTTGGTCAAAGCCAAACTGCTTAAAGTTTAATTAAGTTTATAAAAAAATAATAATATTTTTGACATAAGATAAATTTATTATAAAAACATATTTAATTATTAATCTAACAAAACTAATTTAATAATATAAATATTACTTATATTTATCTATAAACTTAGTTAAGCAGTTTGATTTTAACGAAATTAAGTAGTAACCTGAAACGAAACGAAAGGAGCAGCTTTTCGTTGGCGGCGTCGATGGTGCATCCGACGTTGAAGCATTTCAACTTCGATCTGTGTGCGCTGATCGATCTGTCGCTGTACATGTCGCGTGCTCGCTGCTGCTGCTTTGCACATCACATGCATCCGTGATGCTGTACCGTCTGATGGATCAACCGGCGGGCGACGTACGGGTTGTGAAGTGCAAGCGTAGGATCGGATCAAACCGCATATATAGGCCGCATTACATCTATCCGACGAACGGTTTTGTTCCCTTGGTTTCCTCCGATCGAGAGGATGCGTCGATCATCGGTCGATCGGTCCATGCCACACTTGATTAGTACTCCCTCCGTTTCGTTTTATTTGACACCATTAACTTTTTAACACAAGTTTGACCGCTCTCATCTTATACAAAAAATTTAAATAATTATTAATTATTTTCCTATTATTTGATTCATTGTTAAATATACTTTTATGCATACGTATAGTTTTACATATTTCACAAAAGTTTTTGAATTGTGAAATATGTAAAACTATATGTGTCCATGAAAGTATATTTAACAATGAACCAAATGATATGAAAAGAATAAATAATTACTTAAATTTTTTTGAAGAAGACGAATGGTCAAGCACGTACTAAAAAGTCAGCGGTGTCTTCCTCTTTTGTTTCTACAGTGGCCAATGCATCATCTTCAACTTCTACAACCAGAGAAGGAGGAAAAGAGGAGAGGGAGGGAGATGACGGTCTCACCAACGCTGGTAACGTCAACTTTCTCCGTGAGCCTTAGTGTCGGCCACACCTAATAAACTCCAATATGCTTCCTTTGGATGAGGGTTTTTAAAGTTGGAGTGAGGAGGGGGAAGGGGGCGAGGGGAAGGTGAGGGCGCTTTAGAGGGATAATCGGGGTGGTGGAAAGCCAATAGTAGTAGTCGAAGTGGATGGTGGTGGGGGCAAAGGACGTCAAGGAGGTGACGGTGCAAGCCACCGAACACAGTGGATGAGAGGCAGGGTAAGAAAATCTTGCTGCAGTTGTTCAATAGGATGATAGCAGCGTGCGGAGAAGGAGAAGGAATGGAGGGAGGGAAGCAGCAGAGATTGCACGGCCGATAAGTCTCATCTCACTGCCACGCAATGCTAGCGAGATGGAGGAGCTAGCATTGATGGAGGTGCGACACACTAGATCGAGTTACCTCATTTGCGCTAACCTTGATGAGATCTCAACCGTTCATAAACCGATCGGTGGACAGAGAAATATGAAGTAATAACTGATTAATAGGTAAGCAAAAAAAAAAATCAAAGCAATAGAAGTCTTTAACAATACCACTATAACTATATAGAGGTAGATTTATTCCATCACATGCATAATAATACAAAGTGATACATACATCGGTCACACACACAGTACTGATCGATCGACCATACCCTAATTAAAAACAGTGGAAAATAAGCATTATGTGTTCTCCACTTCTCCAAGATCACTGTGCATACGTACATATATAAGTATGGCGGCCACACACACGTACACGTATAGAGATCATACGCGCCGCCTTTGATTTTATTGACGAAACCAAACTAAAATTAAACATGTGCCGAGGATCGATCGATCGATCGATTGGATCAGTTGTGGGGATCCACCTCCGGGCGGTACATGGGCTCCGGGATCTCGTCGGGGCTCGCGCAGCAGCGGCATCCGCCGCGGTAGCCGTAGCCGCAGCAGCGGCAGCCGTGCCAGCCTCCTCCTCCGCCCGGGTAGCCACCGCCGCCGCCGCGCCCCGGATAGCCGTAGCCGCGCCCCGGATAGCCATAGCCGCCGCCCCGTGGTGGGTACCCGCCGCCGCCGCGCCAGTAGTCCTGCACGTCCACCTTGGTGTCCTCCTTCTTGTTAGCCTCTGCATATCATATCGATCACCGACGACGTTGTAGTTAATTAAGCCAAGAACACATATGAGATACTAATAATTGCGTGTTGAGAGCTAAGCTAGAACTAATAATTAACTTGGGAAGAAACGACGAGAACTCACGGGTTTCGTCGGCGGCGGAGGCGGCGACGAGGAAAGCGGCGGCGAGGAGGACGACGGCGAACGCGATGAGAGCCTGCCTGGTCGACGCCATTGCTCCTACGATCGATCGATCGATCTCTTCTCCTCGCTAAGTAGTAAGATCTTACTGTCTTGTTCTTTGTAGTAGCTGCTAATACCACTGCGAAGTGCAGTGTTTGATGAGAGGCAATGCATGCATACCAAGCGTATTTATAGGCGACGACGCTTGCTCATAGTCCTATGAGATCGCGAGGTGCACGCAGATGAGCAAGAGATCGAGCAAGTTTGACGCGTGTTGCAACGGTGTAGGGCCCGTGCACAGACAGGGAGTCATGGAACGTTAGCGGTTGGGGAGATGGATGCTTGGCATTTAGCCATTGAAACCTGCAACGCATATATATGCAAACAGTGGTAGCAGTAGCCTGTTGGATGGATCGACCGATCGAGCTTGATCTCTGTGGGCGACTGGAGATTTGATGAGTTGGGCTGTGGTGGAAACAAGCCAAGTTTGACTCGGCGAGGGCGTGCAGCATGGTCGATCGATCGGTCTGAAAACTCTGAATATATTGCACGCATTGATCACAGCTTCGATTCTGAACCACAGAACGAGATCGATCGAGAACCATTTGGATAACATATCTTCTTCTGATCGATGCCATGATGAGGGCTACGGCTGCGTGCTCCCTTGATTTTCAAATGGATATGTATGTTGTCTTTAGACAACGTGAATCCGGAACTCAAAAAGTTTTACACCAAACTATTACTCCATTTCAAAATGGTTGACACCGTTGACTTTTTAGCACATGTTTGACCGCTCGTCTTATTAAAAATTTTTTTATGAAATATGTAAAACTATATGCGTACATGAAAGTATATTTAACAATGAATCAAATGATATGAAAAGAATAAATAATTACTTAAATTGTTTAAATAAGACGAATGCTCAAACACGTACTAAAAAGTTAACGGTGTCAAACATTTTAAAACGGAGGGAGTAATAATTAAGCTTTATATGTCATATATGAAACTGATATTGATATATTGTCGAAAAAGATACTCATGTGGTCCTATTTTTATTAAGTTTTATTTTAACATATTATTGAAAAATAATGTTCTATCGAGATATCTTCAAAGATTAACCTCAAGAGAACAAACGAAGTAATTAGTACTCAGGCTAGCTAACCTGAGGACGTTAACTTAGAAACAGAAAATAGGGGATTGTTAGGCTTCATGTGACTCAAACTATGAACCTTTTGATCAGGCGAGGCAGGTTGAGAAGGGGAGATGGCGAGGAGACTCACTGACAATGGCAATGACGTCCTTAGTGAGCCTCAACACTGATGACACCTAAACTTCAGCAAACTTTACAAGATTATATTTTTGGGCTTGAAAGCGGTGGGAGAGGGAGGGACAACCAAGGATAAAGTAGGCACGAATCATATACAGTGAGGCTAGTCGGCCTTTGCATAACTTCAATACTAGTAAGTGGAATCACGTACCCATTTCACCCTTGGTCTATTCTTTGGTCGTTCACATTTGTGTGAAAAAACCTAGCCCATTTGATATACTTGGGAGTAGTGGCGGACGCAACTTTAAAATATAGATGGGCGGAGAACGGAGATGTTCACTCAATAAGAGCAATCGAACATAACATTTCCATAACTACCTCAATATGTTGGGTGTTCACACCTTGTTATACCTAATTTTGATGACCTGTGACTACTGTAAGGGGGTAAGGAGGTCTTTAGGGTGTGGGGCGACACGAGTCGTAGCTGAGTCGGTCGACCCATCCTACCTAATGGGTAGATCCGCCCCTGCTTAGGAGCATTTTCTTAAAGCCAAAAGCTAAGTAGAACTTGTACTAAAGTGGTTCTAGGCATTAAGCATATCTCTATTGATGTAAAAGCGTATACTTTCTCCTTCCATCACCTTCTCCCATCGTTCGCAACACATCCGTACCTCCGCGCATGTAATCACCAGATCCAATGTTTTATTTTTAATCACTTTCTTAGATTATCTCTAATTATATGAGTGTCGTTATAATGTACGGTCATGTTACTTGCATTGAAAAAGGCTAACCGGGTCGTTGGTCTGGCCGGGGAAGAGTAGAACTATAGTTGTGGGGCTGGTTTGTTAGTGCGGAAAGACAGATGTAACGTAGGACACATGGACCAAATGAAGGCCCAAACCATCTCTTTTGCGGTCCATAGCGTAGAACGAGCAAAAATACAACCGAAAACTACAAAAGGAAAATCTTATGCCATGTCACAACCGATGGTCAAAGATTCTTCTATAATTTTTCCGACCATCTTGATTGACCAGTTCCTCCAAAAAAAATAATCGAGCTAGATGTTGTTTGTTGAAACCTTTATCGTGTTTCCAAACTTATCATGCCATCTCTGAAAGAGTGTAGTTTTAGTCAAGAAACTTATCCATAAAAAATATAGTTTTAGAGATATCTTTAATACTACTTCATTTTTTTCCTTATTTTTCGCCGTTGAACCAATAGCAATTCCGCCTCTTTTCCAGCCTCCTCGTTTTCTCTCCATATTATAGAAGGATGTAGTGCTATTTTACTCTCTCGCTTAATATATTTTTGACTAGCTAAAACTATTCCTTTAGGAACGGAGGGAGTATTTCTATGCCTATGTAGAGCAGTACAAGACACTGTGGTGGCAAGATAGTATGTGGCAGAAGTACCAAACACCCCTTATAAACGACATGTGCATATATGTTAGGTAATTTTATCATTCTTGATAAGGTATCGGAGGATATCACATTTTCTATTGTAAAATTTATCTAATGATACTTTTCTATGAACCGTAAAATTTCTCATGTATGTTTTCTAGATTCTGTTTTGCTGGCCATGTGCGGCTAGCTGCGCGTGTTGCACCTCGAAGTTTTCCGGTCCCCCATCTCTCGAGCGCAGTACGTCCAGCGTTGCCGATCTGCTGTTCTGCAGTAATATTGATCGATCCCAGGCCCAACATCTCCTCGTACATCGCCGTAGAAAGGCCCTGATTTCAGCCAATATCCCAGCCCCATCCTCCGGAAGATGGACTGACGACTTCGATCGACTTCGCCGGTAGGGGTAGCCACAATCGATCTGTTTCTCCCCAGCACATCGTCTTGCGCACAGTACGAGTCCTACTACACCAGAAACCTTGCACATGTATAGATGCCTGTTTTATGTGTTCTTAACTCGTGAAGGAGAGAAACGCACTATAGGTGTTAGTTTTAGCTGTTTTGGTACCCTATAGCGTCGATCTTTATATGCATTTTTAGTAGCTAGTGGTATTAGAAGTACTAGTACTAGTTTTTATTGACATATACTCATGTATAGTAACATATATCGGCACAAACCCCGCCGCCGTATGCACGCAGATACATACGTACGTACGTGGTCCATATATACATATACGTGCACAGACTTTTATATGTACACATATATACGTGCTGGCATACACATTTTCATTATTCAGTATTCACTTGGTTTAGTTGCTGCGTACGTTGCTAGCGAGCTCCGGCGCCGGCCGTACGTACGTACGTCGGACGATCGTCTGAGACTTAATTAGTTGTGCGCCTCGGGGCGGTACATGGGGTCCGGCTTCTCGTCGGCGGTCGCGCAGCAACGGCGGCAGCCGCCGTGGTATCCGTAGCCGCCGCAGCATCCGTGATGGCACTGCCCACCGGGGTAGCCGCCGCCGCCACCTCCGTGATGGCCGCCCCCACCGTGGTCGTCGTGCCAGTCCTGGACGCCCGCGCCGCCGCCGCTCTCCGTCTTCTTCTGCTCCTTGCCATCTGCAACAAATTCATAAATTAAGCAATAAACCGATCGATCGGAGGTGAAGAAAGATATATATGCATGTGTGTGTGCGCTCACGAGGTTGGTCGGCGGCGGCGGCGAGGAGGACGGCGGATGCGAGGAGGACAGCGAGCAAGAGCAGGGCCTTGGACGACGACGCCATGGTGGTCGATCGATCCTACTAGCTTGCAGCTGGCTTTTGCTAAGCCGGTGTGGTACTGAAGTGAAGATGTAGGAGCAAAAGCTAGCTAGCTAGCTAGTGCTCTGATCTGTGACGTATGAGGTTAGAGTCATATTTATAGTGCTGAAAAGCTGAGTCATAGGCGGTGATAAGCATGAAACTGGCTGCAGCTAGAAGACGACACGTACGTTACGGCGCAATGGGCAGATGAGACGAATGATCTAAGATAGTAAGATCTACTAACTTCTGGGCCCGTTCAATTCCCCAAAAATTTTTCCCAAAAACATCACATCTAATCTTTAGACATATGCATGAAACATTAAATATAGATAAAAAGAAAAACTAATTGCACAGTTATGGAGGAAATCGCGAGACGAATCTTTTAAGCCTAATTAGTTCGTGATTAGTCATAAGTGCTACAGTAACCCACATGTGCTAATGACAGCTTAATTAGTCTTAAAAGATTCGTCTCACGGTTTCCAGGTGAGTTCTGAAATTATTTTTTTCATTCGTGTCTGAATACCCCTTCTGATATCCGGTCAAACGTTCGATGTGAAAACCAAAAAATTTTATTTTTCCCAACTAAACACACCCTCTGTATGAAGGACAAAAGAAATAGTTCCATCGGTGAAGCAGCGAAGTGGTTCAGAATTCAGAGAATTCAGCACCTACCACGCACTACCAGGATCATGCTTACATGCTGCTACATACTCTCTGAACTGAATCGCTGTGACTCATAAGAACAGGGGCATGGACAACTCTGCCTCTTGCAATTTTTTCGACTTTTTGGTTGCTCTCATCCTGATCTCTCTCAAGTCTGAACCCATTATCCCGTCCAAGCGATGCGTACGTGCAGATGATACAGCTGTAAGCATTTCTGCAGCCGTACGTGTCATCTACTCGATCGTCTATCCATTCAGTTCACCCCGCGTATGTTCGATTGTTCGTAGTGCCCCAGGTGAAACTGGTACAGCGGTGCGTGTTGGGCGACTTGGATGGGGGCAGAGATAGCAATGGGTACATACCCATCGGGTTTTCTCATCCTCTACTCACATTCGTGATGACTAAAAATTCTCGCTCCAACACCCACATCCGTTCGCGGGTGTAAGATTTCTTTTCATACCCACTAAACTAACTGATAGCACTAATAATTTTGCACAACAATCAGACGATTACAACGCAAGACATCATGATAGATATAACCTTGGTTAACATTCAAAACCATGTAAACAAATCGTGCAAGAACCAGACCATATATGATAGGTAAACAAATCATACGAGAACTAAACCATATATTACCGTTCAAAAGGAAGTACACATCATGCTAGGCACACGGGTTTTTTTACCCATGGATTACTGGTACAGGTGGCGAATTAAAAAACAGATTTATACCACCTACCCAATGGATAAGGATTACTGCTCACTAGTAGACCCACGAGTACAACAATTAGATTTTATATGGCTCCTAATAGAGCAAAAATCATCGATCCTGGTCATGGGAGCCCTCTAGATGGGGCAGTTCCAGGGGCGGAGATAGAGTATATTAGGGGGTGCCCAGGAACCCGGTCAAGAAAACTGTTTAGTTATACCTCACCTATTTTCACTATGTGTGCACCACCCTCAATATAATTTAGGCACCCGTATTAGCTTAAACTCGATCTAAAGTAAAGTAAATTAAGTAAGTGGCACCCTCCATTTTGTTCTAGCTCCGCCCCTGGGCAGTTCAAAAAGAGGTTGAGCACATTGCACTACTGTAGTGCGTGTTGTGTGGTACACACCCCACCATTATCCAGTGCAACTAGACTTATCTAACATATGTAAAGGGGACATGAATTTCTAACATGATCCCACGTATCAGTGACATGTGCCTTCACCACATGTTCGCACGCCTATTTGGTCACTTACACGAAATCAAGAATTATTTTTGCGTTGGTAGACAAACTTACTTTCCTAGCAAAATTACCTTGATGAGCCTGGATAGTAAGTCAAAAGAAAATAGTAACTCCTAACAGGGAAATGTATTTTCCTGAGGGTTTTTCCACCTTCACGAAAGACTGCTGGTATATTGGTTTCCTTCCTTTTGGTCATAAGTATTTGGCGTTGGTCATAAATATTTGGTGTTAGGATAAGATTATATAAATTTTTTGAAAATCCGCGTATAATACTAGCCATTGCTTGTCAGATGCCCCTGGGACGATGTATATGAAATTTTACGAGGGAGAGGAGATGCGGAAAACATCAAGAGGACAGCAGGACAGCACAGGATGGCCTTGATCGGTCCATTAAAGATGGCTGGAGATAACGTTGATCGACCAGTCAGCTATGCCAAGACTTTCTGCCGTATCATGTGTCAGGATATGACGATCGACGATGAAGATGATCTTCTATTCGTCTCTTCAGGACTGCAAAGTAACTATATAGTGTAGCAGATCGGTAGATATATATATTTTTAAGATATTTGAACTTTGGCAGAGTTATTTTAGGAAGATCAGTAGATGCGTGCACCGTGTGTGTACGCAGTGCTTGCCGCTTGCAACAGGCAGCAAACCAGACCAAGCTTTGCCATTGTTATCTCAAGTAGCACGCACCACTGACATTTATATACAAGAGTTGAGCTTTTTTTCCTTGAGCGATTCAAGCGCTCCCACAAAGCTAAAATGAGGCCAACAAATTGACTGTTTTGCTGAACATCAACCATGCAACAGGAAGAAACCAAATCGTTTGGGTCAGGAAAGCCCAAGCGTTTACTCACCACCGCCGGGCTGCAACCTTGATATGTACTTGTCATACAACTTCGCCGCTCGCTCTAGATCCCCAAGCTCCGTGTAGCAGTCAGCTATGGCGCCGTAGGCCTCGGTGCACCCGGAATCCTCGCCCGTTTCCTTGGAAAGCTCCAGGACTTTATAGTAGCAGTTCATTGCTTCTCTGTATTTGCCCAATCTTTGTAGCGATGCACCTAATGCAAAACAAAAGGAAAAACTCAAATCACAGTTGAAAACTCAAATAATATAATTGCTTTCTATCTGACAGTGATTGCTTCTTAAGCTTGAAACTCGATGAACCTTTTGAACTGTGTTCGCTATAATTGAGTTTCACAGAAGTGGAAAGTAGCACCATAAACCAAAGGCTTGGTGCTTAATGGTTGATACGACACCAATAACACAATTCAATTCGATAAACACTTTTTAGTGATTATATAGCCTAACTATAAGACCCAGAGCCTACCTGTCTTTCTTGTTTGTAGCTAATTTTTCGAACAGTACGGTAAAACATCACATTATGTACTTTCTATTATGACAGTGAAGAAATAACTATATGATGGTTATTATTAGAAAGAAACGAACCTAATCCACGAGCAGCTTTCTTCTCCTCAAAGCGATCTCCTACGCTCTTTGCGAGCTCCAGAGCTGCCCTGAATTCCTTTACTGCCATATCAAGATCTTGATTCCTCATAAATGTCTTCCCGTTTCTCAAATTTACTGTCAGTTGTTGCTTCCTGGGATCTACAATAACTTCAGTTTCTGTTGCTCTGCCAACTGGCGCGTAAGTAAGGCCAGGAGCAAATGACTCAATCTGCGCCTGTCTTCTAAGTGCCGTGTTAATTTGGCGAAGTTGAGTGTTCAGTCGCTTTAATTCCTCCTTTCTTTGCCGTGCTAGTAATCCTGCAAATCACATAGGGAAAGCAAAATAAAATGTGGTTCGCTTCATCAAAATTATATAAATCCAGTTGAGCTTGCAAGTACACAGGTTTGCATATCTTACCACCAACAGCAGCACCTATTAGAGCCACAGCAATAAAAATGGGCATATTGGCCATAGAATTAGCTGGCTGACATGTCTCCGCCGATGCCGATGCCTCAAGAGGCACAGCAAGTATTGACATGGTTGAAATAACAGCAGCTTTCAGAAGGTCAGGTTGTGCCCATTTCTGCAGCAACAATTTTCACAAACAGGTCAAAAATAAAGAGCAAAAAGTTGCAGAACGTAGTAGAAGGGGAAAGAAAGAAGCATTCTCATATGTGAAGGATATACATTATGAACAAAACAATAATATGATTGATCTCCCACAAAGTTTTTGGTCACTGGTAAGTGGTAACCCGCCCCCAAAGATAACATTGTAATAAGCTTATCGGACCTAAAGTCGTACACACGAAAAGTAATATTTATCCTGCTCTAATCACAATCTACAAACTATTATCAGGCCTTTATGTGGCAAAAGGATAATGTAATCCGCCGAGCAACAATCAGGTTACAAATGCCTTCCAATTACAGGCTTTATCTCACTGCGTGTACGGCATCAACGGGGTTGTCAATTATCATGTCATGTCACCTCACAAATGAAAGGCTCAATTCACGCGTCATGCTAAATCTCAAACCGATTCCACGGTTGGATTGGATTGTTGACCCAGTCTGGCTTGTTTTCGCAGCAATCCAAAATCGAAGCCTAAATGGCCTTACCTGGTGATCGGGAAGGACTCGCCGAAGGGCACGCAGCAACCGAGACGCCTCTCCGTCATCGCGGTCTTCGAGATGCACGAAGTAACCGCCGCCGCCGCAGCCGTAAGCCCGAGAATGGGGCACGGAGCTGACACGTAGGGGCGCCGCCGCCGCCTCATCTGTTCCCCCCACGACGATACGGTATGACGAATCAATCCTCACAGAGCGCTAGGGCTAGCCTTGCGGCAGGCGGGGCGCGAGTGAGAAGAGAGGAACCTCGAGGATGAGGCTTACCGGCGAAGGGGAGGACGGGGCGGCGGCGGCGGCCAGGGAGGAGGGAGTGGGCGCGGGGGTGCGGGGAGACTCCGCGGCAGGAGAGCGCCGCCGCGCGCGCAGGCATGGGCGGCTGGCTGGTCGCGTTGGCTCGGTCGTCGGGCGGCGTCGGCGTTGGCGGCGGCGGTGGGAAGGATGGCGGAGGGGGGTGGCGATGGTCTCGTCACGTGAAGTGCGCGTGCGTGGAATGGAAGTGGACGGGTTCTTCTTCTGGTTCTGGTTCTCAAGGTGGGCCTGTGGGCCTTCGCTTGCCTGCGGGCTGTTGTAGCACACGGTTTCGATCGATCGATCCACGACGTTACAACTTCTCTTTTCCTTCTCTCTTTTTTTGACTCGAGACTTTATTCAACTCTAAAGTTTAAGTTTCTCGTTTTACGGTAGCACGTTTTTTTAAAGTTTTTTTAAAATAATTTCTATATAAAATTTTTTTAAAAAAAACGAATGAATCCATTTTTAAAATTTATAATATTTAATACTCCCTCGTCCCAGAATATAAGTATTTTTCACTTCGACACGATCTTCGAGATGCTACTTTAACCAATAATATCTATAAAAGTAAAATGTTTTAAATAAAAATAGTTGCATGTTATGATAGTTTGTTTAATCATAAATCTAGTAAGATCAATTTTACATGATTGATATTTTTTTTATTTTTTACTATTAATAGTCAAAGTTAAAAATATTTGACTTGGCACTATTATAAAAATCCTTATATTTTGTAACAGAGGGAGTACGTAATTAATCGGGGAGTACGTAATTAATCGGGGAAGCACTAGTGGTGTGTTGGTGACCGGGATTCAAAGTCCATGTGCCCACAAATATTATGCACATATAGGTGGACTTTCAATAGATGGTGTGTGCATGCGCGTGTACGTCTGTCGTGTAATATAAAAATAATAATTAATCATGTGCTAATGAGCTTTCTCATTTTGCACATCCAATAAAATGTGTGGTACCAATTAATAAAGATATGAGACTGAAAAAATATCTTCAGAATCATCCTTATAAAATAATCACCGCTGAGTATTCAATAGTAATTATATTGTATCAACAACAATATCCGGGAAAATATGAATAGTAATTCACTACAACTTAAAATTAAAAAGGCAAAATGTGCTATAGGATACCAAAAAAACGCGTAACTAGCTTAGGGACACCGAGAAAACGTGGAACTGCCCCAGGACACTACAAAATTTGTGAAATTTGCCGTAGGACACTGAGCTCATTATTTTATCATTTTCCAGCTGAAAGTGGCGAGTATTTTTTCAAAATGCCTAGATTGCCCCGTGTCCCAAACTCAGTTGCCACACACCACTCAGCGGATGGCATCATGGAGCTCGCCGCCGGGGAGTCCGCCATGTGCAGCCGTCGGCGGGACCCATCGCCGGAGTCGTCGTCGTCATCAGGTTCCCTGAGGTGGCAGAGCTCTTGGATGTGTGCTGGCTGGAGATCATCGGCAAGCTGCAGCTCTCGCTCCTCTCTCCAGCGACGACCTACGCCGCTGTCACGCCCAGAAATTCCCGAATAGAATTCCAAGCATAATGTGCATTAAAATTCCATGAACACTTTGTTCATCAGGTTCATGAAGAATGCAGGTGTATTGGTAAGTCCAAAAGACATAACCGTGCACTCATACAACCCATACCGAGTGGTGAAGGCTGTCTTGAGAATATCCTCTTCCCGAATCATCAACTGATGGTAGCCTGATCACAGGTCTATTTTGGAAAACACCCTGGCTCCTTTCAGCTGATCAAACAGATCATCAATCTGCGGCAAAGGGTATTTGTTCTTGATGGTGACCTCATTGAGTGCGCGATAATCGACGCACATTCTCTTCGTCTTGTCCTTCTTCTCCACAAAAATGACCGGAGCACCCCAAGGTGAAGTACTTGGTCAAATGTACCCTTTCTGCAGTTGCTCATCAACCTGCTTCTTGACCTCTGCTAGCTCGTTGGCTGCCATTCTGTACGGTCTCTTGTAAATTGGAGCAGTCCCCGGTGCCAAATCAATCCGGAATTCAATCTCTCTCTTGGGTGGCATGGTAGTGAGGTCCTTAAGGAACACCTCTAGATACTCGCAGACTATGGGGATATCTTCCAATTTCCTCGAACTCTTCTCCTCAGTGACCACCGGATTTTCCACCTCAATCTGATTTAAGGAGATTCCCTGCTTCAGTGCGACTGGTGACTTGTACACCACTGTTTCCCCTTTCTCATTGGTCAAGGTGACCGTGCGATTCGCACAATCAATGACACCCTTGAACTTGGTCAGCCAATCCATCCCAAGAATGACATCTAGATCTTTGGATTCGAGAAGGATGAGGTTGGCTAGAAATGGTGATCTTTGGATTTCTATTGTTACAGAAGGGCTGAATTGAACCGAGGTGGAGCTATTCCCGGGGGTATGAACCTGCATTGGTGTACTAAGTTCTTCTCTTATTAACCCATGTACCCCAACAAACTTCTTTGAAATGAATGAATGCGTCGCACCAGAATCTAAAAGTACTTTTGCAGAAATTGAGTTGACAGGAAACGTACCCAGTACGACCTCTGGTGCTGCTTGCGCCTCTTCTACGGATGCGTGGTTGATACGAGCTTGGGCAAACCTTGGCTCGGCACGCCTTGGCTTCGGGCACTTGTCAGCAAAGTGGCCATGCTCGCCACAGTTGAAGCAGGACCCTGGCTTTGCTCCAGTCTCCTTCTTGGCTTGGACTGATGGAGCTGCCTGTGCTGTGGCCATTGGTGGGCGCGGAGATGCACTGCGGTTGGGCTGACCTCCCGGGTGGTTCTGGCTGCCACTGGCGCCCTGGTGGAAGCTGCTTGAGTTGAAAGGGCGATGCTGGCGGACAATCATGGTGGTAGGTCTACCCTGCTGCCCGGGAGTGAAGCGTGGTCGCTGGTGACTTCCTTGGTTGAACCGGAACTGCGCTACCTTTCTCTTCCTGTCCATTTTGTTGCGCTGATCCTCCTGACGGATTGCCTTATCTAACAGCTTCTCGAAGTCAGCGTAATCCCCGGAGATCAACTGGTTGGTCAGCTCGTCATCCAGGCCTGCTAGGAACTTCTCCTGCTTTTCTGCGTCAGTGCGGACATCCTCCGGTGCATATCACGCTAGGCGATTGAACTCATGCAGATACTCTGTTACTGTCCTGTTGCCCTGATGGAGTGCCCGGAATTCTCTCTTCTTTTGTGCCACGACCCCGTCTGGCACTTGCGCCTTCCGGAAGCTGCGACAGAACTCTGCCCAAGTAACTTCTGTGCCTGGCGGGCGGGTAGCCATGTGGTTGTCCCACCAAGCTGACGCGGGACCCTGGAGCTGGTGTGTGGCGAAGGCGACCTTCTCCTGATCGTTGCACTGCAGAAGATTGAGCTTCTTCTCTATGTCATGGAGCCAGTCATTTGCCTCCATGGGGTTGGTGGTGCTAGAGAAGGTGGGTGGCCTGACGCGTAGAAACTCCGGCAGCTTGGACTGAGGGGGAGGGGGACCAAACTGCTGCTGCTGCTGCTCGGCTTGCTGCTACATCCTCTGGTGCATCTGCTGGTGCTGCTGCTGCATCTGTTGCATCATGGCCGCCATCATCTGAGTCTGATGGGCCATCACTTGTGCAAGAGTCAGGTTCTCGGGGAGCGGTGGCGGACCGTTGCCAGAGGCGCTGTTAGGATATCCACCGTCGGTGCATTCTTTGCCGTTGCTGCCCTCACCTGCTACACGGCTGCCATTCCTGGTGTTGACCATCTGAAGGGAGAGCAGACGGAGGGGATGGAAAAGAAGAAAAACAGATGCTCAGGAACTAAGCTTTATTATATAGGAATTTAAACTACAATTGTTCTGATCTGAATTAAAACACTTAAAACAGCAAACAAATCCTTATTAAGACAGCCACATCATAGGCACATGATGTCGACCGTCGACTGACCCACAAGCGAACAAGCCTAAACACACAAACTAACAGACAATTACTAAGCAGTCGATAAACTAAGGGAAAACGAGCCTAATGCTCGGAACGGCTCCTGCGGTCGGTGGAGTCGAAGGCGTCCTCCTGCTCGTCGCCAGGTCCCTCTGAGCGGCTCCTGGAGTCTGGCAGATACGTCTCGCCGCTGCCCGGCTCTGAGCCACTGGAACTGCTGCTGCTGTGGTCGCGGCTGCCACTGGGAGTAGCAGGCAACCAACCTCTGTTGCCACTGGCTGGACCCCTGGCGGCTGACGCTGGAGCGAAAGAGAGAGCGGACGCGGGAGCTGACATGACATTGGAACGGGAGCTGGGACTGGAGCTGGAGCTGCGGGCGCTGCGGGAACTGCGGGAGGTGCTGGAGGAGCTGCGGGAGGAGGTGGGTTCCTGGGCGCAAGCTGAATGCGCACGGGTGCATTCGTTGACTTGCGAGGCGTGGTGCGGATCTGGACTCCTCCTGGCGCTGGGAGACCCTTCAACTAAGCGTTTTCCTTCTTCAAGCGTGCTATCTCATCCTTCAGAGCTATGATCCTCACAAGCTTCCCATCATTCAAGGCCTTGGATGCCTTGTGCAGGTCAGAGTGCATCCTGTCCATTCCCCTCATCACGGCGCACATGTGGCTGAAGGTGGTGTCGTTCTCACTGGCCGTACTTAAAGGAAAACATGTTCAAGTGAAAAACGATAGAGCAGTAACATTATAAAATGATGCAGTACTTAAAGGAAAATGATAGAGCATTTGCAATATAGGATCAATATGTTCAAGTGACAAGCATGACTTGCCTTGCTATGCTCCTGGAGGAACCTCGACGACTATTTCAAAGTACACCGGAACATCGGGAGAGCCGGAATCTAAGCGACATACAAAGCAAACAATACAAACAGGCCATAAGCCTACTGAAACAGAGAACAAAACTATTTTTAATGGATTCTATGCATTTTTCTTGATTTACTGAGACTTGAATGGGCTTAAACGGAGCTCGGATGAATTAGATATGAATTTTAGAAGATTCACTGTGTTTTTACTATAAACAGAAAAATCCTTAATTGATTTATTGCGCAATAATTAAAATCCCGGGGAGAGAGAGGGCGGCGCCGACATGCGGGCCCCACATGGCACATGGCAGTGAATCGGGTGGCTGTCCGCGGTGGACTGGGTCCACGGACCGGGAAAGGGGCGGCACACCACGTGGTGCACATGTGGCGCCGACGTGGCGCACACGTGGCGGCCATGTGGCAGCCACGCGGGC